TAAATGAGGAGAGGCTTCTGGGGACACGAGTCCATGGTTCTCACCTTCTGCAGAGCTCTAAATGTCTTCTCCCTATGGTCATAAAACGGAACCAGAACCTGGAGCCAGAACCGCTCCTGACACAGGCAGTAGCCCCATGCTCTGAATGCCAAGGCTTTGTGGAGGGCAGTGGGACAGAGCCAAGCCTGAGAACAGAGCTAAGGATCCAAACAAACAGGATTCCTGCTCCCATCTGCTTCCAAATCTGGCACTCAAGGCGCTTTTCTATCTGAGTGTTGGGTTGAGGAAACCACCAACCAACCAGAAAGACTCGGTCATTGCAGTCATCTAGGAAAAAAAGCAGTAGGTTTTCTCATGCTTCTCACAACCGCTCTCCACTTTCCCTTCATCAGAATAAACTGGCAGGGAAGGATATTTGTGAAAGCCCCTCTTTTGTCTATCCCTGGGCCTATTTCTGGCATTTTCTCCATAACCACATCCTGCCCCAAAACAAGGACTTGCAGTAGCTGGATGACAGCTGTGTGATGTGGAAGGGCAGCAGCCAGCTGACAAGTGAGCATGCTGTCCCTATGGCTTTGCACTCAGGGCCTGTCCCCCCATGAGCCCCAGCACCCAACACCTGCTTCTCCTTCCTGGGAGAGTTCACCAAGCGGCTCAAAACACTGAGACACAGAGCTGTTCTCAAAACGTCACCAACAAAGAGCAAGGAACAATATTGCTGTTGGATCTGGAAAAGACAGAGCCCAGCTAAGGTAAACCATGGAAGAACATCAGTGGGATTGCTTGGAGCATCTTCTGAAGAAATTTCTGGATCAGATCTAAGACACGCTTAGCTCTTTCCCCATTCTTCTCAAATCTTTTGGGCTCCTTCCAGTCATTACCTTCACCGTTTCTACACACTGCTCTGACAAACACGGCTCCCTTACCACGTTCTGCCTCTCCTCCTGCATTCCTGCCCTGCAGCAAGCCGAGGTTCATCCTCCCCCAGCCTCGGTCACCAGAAAACCAGGCCTATTTCCTTCCCTCTCTTTATAATTGAGAGAGCAATGCCCATGCAGACCACACAGTGTGATTCCACACTGAGAGAACCAGGGGAAATTCCCCGCCAGCTCTCCCTATGGGATCAGAAGGTACCTGAGGAAAATTTGGGCCATTTGGGGCTACATTCTCAGATATCCTTCAGAGCAGGCACTGTCACACGGTACTGACTCCTGCAATAACTCAGAGTCTAAGTTATTCCAGAAGACACATCCCCAAAGTCTGTGCGTTACAAGAGGAAATCAGGGCAGCAGCTAAAGGAAGGGGCATAGCTTTGGTAACCTCACACCTGTGCTGACGGATCCACTTTGAGCTTCAAACAGGCCCCTGACCTTTCAAACGCTCTGTGATGAGAGGATTGGGAAGGAACAGGGAAAGGAAATCTCTGCAAAGACGTGCAATTCTAGATAGCACCAATCTGCACAGCTAAAGCAGTTAGAGGTGGCCAAGCTAATTAAGGGCCACCTGCTCACATCCTGGTCTGCTAATTCTTGCTTTAAAAGACTTAGCTCTGACAAGCATCAAGTCCCCACCTTAATGACATTATTATCTTTAATGCATGAGGTAACAGAAGCCGGGGCAGGAAGAAAAAACAGAGAAGGGCTCACCAAGAGAATGACAGCTAGAAACTCCGAGCTCCTCCACAAAGACCATTAACTCTTCTCTCCAGCACTGAATTATCGCAAATCTTGAGCTCTTCTATCCGAGTGCAAAGTCACTGTATGCCTTTTGCTACAAACTCATACGTGCAAAAGAAGCCAGTATTTCTACATGTGCTAAAATAGAGACGCCAAATACCCACGGGTAGAAAAAATACAGTCATAAATTAAAGGAATCTTTCTCAGCCCTTTATAACACCAAGAATCAACTGAGAAAGACAATCCAACTTGTCCTCCCCTGGAACAGGTCACCTTTAACCTCCCTGCACAACCCTGCCCCACTCCAGGTTTCACAGGCAGTGTGTAGGAACACCAGCAGCCTCAGACATCGCATGCCATGACAATAAATACCATCCACAGCCTGCCCTCATCACCTCCAAGCCCTTTAGCCAACAGTGGCTGTGAACACACAGTAACACACAGCACACACAGTGAACACACAGTAACAAACGAGCAAGACGACACGTTGGTGGCTCTTGAAAAAACTCCATCAGATGGCCTCCACTTAGAAAAGCTGGCATGGGTGCCCATAAGTAAATAAAAAAGCCAAAGGCTGCACTTCTAAATCTGATGGATGAATCTGTTTGCCCGCAATTCAATCAGGTGGGGAGCGAGCCTGGCTCACATTTGTCACAAGTTCCATCTGAGAACAACAACAACCTGCTCCCATCTGTAATGCCCTTTGTAGGTGATTATAGAAAACAAAAAGGACTAAATTCAAAGCAGGTTTTCAACTGGGGGGGATCCAAAAAATGCTGACTGCGAAGGAGAACAAAGCCAGATGGCATATGCTGGTATTGTCAGGGATTATGCAGTGTAAGGCAATAGGAAATGAGCAGAAAAAAAAGAACCAATTTCATCCCAGGGCTCCTCTGCTGCCAAATGAACATAGCGGGGCAACTGTGAAACAATCAGTTTATGGGTTTCATTCTCCTCCACCCCCAGACTGAACTTAAATATTTGTATAAGCCGAGGCGTAACTTTTATCTAATGTTATCCTTGGGGTTTACACGCTGTTTGGAGCATTCGGTCTAAAAAGCATTCCCCCAAACTCCTGCCACAAAAAGAGCTGAAACTACGATACTAATTAAAACCACACTCTTTGGTATCAAGAAGACATGCTATTATTTTCTTTTTTGCTCATGAGAAGCTGTTAATACGGGCAATGCGTCTGGAACATTTTCCTTCCAAGCGCAATGCTCAGTACCCCCTCCTGCTCAGGTCGGCTGCTTTATGAACTTGTCAGCAGTCTGGGGTGGGAAGGCTCAGATGGCGTATTTACAAGAATAGATTTTTTTTTTTTTTTTTTTAATAACAGACTGTTTGCCAACTTCACGTTATAAAAAGCACATCGAGAAAAAAACAAAAGCTTTATGCTGCACAAAAGGTGACAAGCTAAAGAAATGTCCTGCCTTCTTGCCCAGTGGGCAGCTGAGGTTGCCAAAATATACTATACATTGTGAAAAACAGCCACCGACTCTGCCAGGATGCTTCTGGACACTCAGCACATACCAGGAAAGGATGTGGGTGGCAATGTGTACCAACACCGACCCACGCTGGGGTAAAGTCTGTTACAGAAAACGGTAAGATTTCATGCTTACTTTATCCCCGTATAACTAGGATGCTTATAAGGTCTCCATTATTATACTATCAGCACATCAAAGTTAATAATATATTTATCCTTATAACACTTGTAAGACAAGGGAAAAATGGTATTACCACAGAAAACTAAGGTGTAAAGAAATTAATGCCCAGTTTTATGTTCAGTGCAATTTTCAAAAGCATCTGTGTGCGTCCCAATACATTCACATCCAGTTAAAAAACAAATTTCTTTGTCCAAGGTCACAGAATCATAGAATGGCCTGGGTTGAAAAGGACCACCATGATCATCCTGTTTCAACCCCCCTTGCTATGTGCAGGGTCACCAACCAGCAGACCAGGCTGCCCAGAGCCACATCCAGCCTGGCCCTGAATGCCTCCAGGGATGGGGCATCCACAGCCTCCTTGGGCAACCTGTTCCAGTGCATCACCACCCTCTGTATATTCAACCTAATCCTCCTCTATCTCAGTTTAAAATCATTCCCCTTGTCCCATCACTGAACAAGGACAAGCAATGGTGTCTCATTCAGAGCAGGCAGTTACACTGCAGAGATGCAGGAAGCAGAGAGAAATGGCTGCTTTGGTCCAATCCTCCTGCAGCACATCCTATTTCCAAGTCTCCACAGCGTTCTGGATGCTCCCTGCTTTGCAAAAGCAGAACTCCAGTGGGTTAGGCAGGGTGCCACTGCTAGTGCTGCCTCTGAAAGACCTGGGCTCAGCCTCTAAAGAAGCATCTGTAGTGCTCCGAGGAAAATAAAAGTGGCAGAAACGATCCTCTGGGGGAAGGCACTTGTCCCACAAGTGTCACTCTTGGGACCGCAAATGTAAATAATGTTTCATCAGAGCAATTGGTTTCTGGTTTCTGGTTGGGAGTGTGGCTTTCACTGTTCTGCCTTTGTTGACTCAAAACGAAACTCAGCTTCCCTTTTTCACAGCCACAGAGATGCCAGATTTTAATTCCTGGCAGCGCACAGTGCAGCAGTGGAGGAGGGACCTTTTGGGGGTGTTTGGCCATGTCTTAGCTTTGAAGCACCTCCTGCCCCGTTAGCGAGCTGCCAGCCTCGCCAGCAGTTCAGAAGAACTGCCTAAGCTACAAAAACAAGTTAATGCACGAAAATATGACTTCAGCAAAGAAGTTAAGCTACATGGGTAAATATGCTGTAATTTCCAACATGCTTCCATTGTGCAGGGATCCAATGTAATAAAATATTCCTGCAATGCTAGAACCATGAGGCCTTGTCCCAGTAAAATGATCTGATTTCGGTATTAGCTTTGCCATGCTATAACCTGCCTCAACACTGGAACCAGCACTATGTTGCTAACTTTCCTAGCACATTCTTGCTTTCCCTTTTTCTAATATGACTCCAAAGTCAGACAGGATTCAATCAAGTCATGAAGTTATATGGACCAGATTCCATAACGCTGTGATACAGAATTGACATCTTTTCCCAATTTACCCAACTGTAAAGTGTCAACCCATATGCATCCAAAACATCACCACAGAATCCCATGGATGGCTGCAGAGTTGATTTTAAGGATGTGGGGGAGGCCTGGTGAAGGGACAGACCGCCTTTAAACGCCACATCTGCTCAGTCCTGCTTTTCATTTGAGGCTGACAGGCAATGCTTGTATCATCACTGCAGTTTTGAGGAGGCTGCTAAAGGTAACACTCACGTTAAAAAAGAATCAATAGGAAACACTTACCTTCCCTACTAGCTTGCCTTTCCTGTTCATGCAAAGGTAGAAGTCTGTCTCCTTCCCTTTGATCCGGACTTGACTGCCAAAAGTGTCTGTTTCCACTAGAAGCTGGGCTTGTAAAGGAAGAAGAAAAAACAGCATTTACCAGTGTGGTCATGTTAAGTCAGCGTGTGCAAAGCTCACCAGCACGTTGTCCCATTGCCTCCACTTGAACCACACCACGCTTGGATGCTCTACAAGGGAACAACCCCACAGCCACCCACGGGCTGAGCTTCAGACTTGGTTAGAGGTGCCAATCCGACACGTCTCCATGTCAGACGCTTCAGATTTAATGCCTCTTCAGCACAGAACAGGCACACACAACTGTGCTCTGTATGTCCTTGCTACCCCATCAGGAATGTAATGCTAGAAGCAGCCCTCCACGCTGCAGGAGGTAAGAAAATGGCTTTCCTTCTCATGGAAGATACAAGATTAGCACAACCAGAATGAGATTCCTTTCCCCACAGTCAGCAGCCCCCAAACACTGCACAGAGGCACCCCAGGCACAGGCTCTTGGTGCTCATGACAGCTAGTGGGGGAGAAGTTCAATGCTGTTTGTGTTCTGGGCCCTGAGAGTGTCAAGACGTCTTTCCAGGAGGTCACTGATTGCTTTGTGGCAATACAGCTCTGCTAAGCCTGCAACTCCAGGCCCAACTGGAAGAAACGCGGCCAATGTCACTGTGTTTTTTGCATGTCTTATTAAGGCCAAATACTGTGTTGCAGCATTTCCAGGAGCCATGGCAGGGGCTGGATTTCTGCTTCATCTGTACATACCACCTGCCCTGATGCAATCTGATTTGCAGAAGCCGGTCAAGCTGTCACACAGATGTACAGCATGTTATCATCATCACTAAAACCTATACACGCTCAAATTCAGCGTTCCGTTCTGACTCTGATCTAAACTCAAATTCCAGTCATGCTCGAGGTTCAGATTCCAAGAATTTCCCTGGAGAGGCAAGAACATGCAGACTGGACATTTTGGTTCAGCTCCATCTCCGATATGCAGGGGAGAAAGTAGACATGGTGGAAACACAATGCAAGAATGTGTAAGTGTCAGCAAGTGCAAATCCACGCTCCTGCTCTGGAAATTCTCACGTTTGTAAGAACTGAGTCTTACCGTAGAAACACGGCTTTTGCCAAACTCTGAAGAATGTTTGATCTGCGCTGCAGAAAGTCACATTCTTTTTGGCATTCATATTTCAAACTTTAAAACCCTCTAAGAGCAAATATGTTCACCGTTAAGGATTTACCATGGGGATAGAAATAGGAGTTTGTTTCATTTAAACACATTAATATTTTTCCCACTTGTAAAGTCAGCTTTTGGCTTCTGCAGCAGTGCAAATATCACACACCTTTAACTCACGAGGGCCCTAAATGGAGTTCTCCCTTTGCAGCCCAGTCACACATGTAAGTTCAGGGTTTGCCAGTTACCGTTTAGATTTATTTAGATATATTCATTAAATCTTTATCACAGGGGATATTTAAAGAATATGTTTCTGTACTTCTTTCTGACAGCAAGTAGGATAATGCCTGTATTGTACCAGTACACAGCTTGCAAACATGTACATAAGGATATTTATCTATGTCTTTCAGGCAGGTGCCGTGGTTGGAGGATGGATACCTGACTGCCAGCAGCAGCTGCGTGCTGAATGCTTTGTCTCACACGTGCCCAGGTGGAATCAAACCAGTGCTCACCCACACTTCTGGCAGGAAGGCCACATGGCCAGAAATATTCCATCACTGTAGGCATACAAAGATGAACAAATCCAGGATGGCAGAGCATGCCACAGATCAAAGCCAGGTCTTCACCGAGCTAAATGGCATGTGCCTTGGAGAAGGTCATTGCTTCAAATTGCTCAGGAGGCTGTTCAGATGCAGTGCCATAGGAATGGACCAGGGAATAGCCAGAAGTATGACTATCTCTAAAGAAGTAACTGTGAAAGGTTGTCTTGTACTAAGGGACGTGGTTTAGTGGGGAAATATTGGTCGTTGGTTGGACTGGATGATCTTGGAGGTCTTTTCCAACCTTGGTGATTCTATGAGGAAGGGACAGAAATTCAGTCACTGCAAGAGGGGAAAGCAGCAGCCTGAAATCTAAGGAACCAGACGTGTGATGCCAAGCACTGGCCAAGAACTGTGGTCAATACCCAGAGCTACAAGGAGCTGCCTGCAGATCTCCACGTCAAATCCACCCAGCAGCATAAACAGGGCTGCCAAACACCAGCTAGGGCTCGGCAGCTTGCATTCAGGCACAAACAGGACACAAGTTCACCCACACTGCCTGCCCACCTTCAGCCAACCCCTGCTCTGGGAACACCACATCTAAGCCACAAGGCAACCCCATCCATCCAAGCCTCAGCGCTGCTACTAGAACTGCTAAGAACAACCCCGAATATCAGATACGGGCTTTATCCAGCCAAAGGAGAAGTAAAGGTCAATAAAATGCTCCATTTCTCCACTGGAGCTCAAGCTGCAGGCTGCCAGATGGCCAGCAACCCGCACACAGCCAACACGGGCTGACACTGCGTGCGCCCGGGCTCAGATGAACAAACACGGGGCACGCGCCTTGCTTCCCCCCACCCCCTCACACTGCAGCCAGTATGAGTAATATCCAAGCTGATTTTAATTTGAAAAATATCACCTTAAAAAGATGCCGGTTCCCTGCTGTGAAAATTAAAACCATCTGGATGGAGTGATTTCAAATAATTAATCTAGGTCTCCTTTGACACCGCTGCTAATTAAAATATGATACCTTCCTCCCCCTTTTTAAATAAAGAATTTAAATAAAGTTTAAAGATCTAATAAAAGAACGTTATAGTTTAGAGAGCTAAATGGAACTCACCTTCCCCATGGGTGGCATAGGTTACGCCAGCACCCCCTTCCCCTCCCTCCCCCCAGCAGAGTGCCACTGCTTGCACCAAGCAGCAGTGATGGACAAACATCTACAGCATCTCTGACACACATAGAGGCACCCTCACAGCCCTGCTCAGCAGCCCCTGATGTCCAGGAAGAGGGAGCAGAGGCTCAGCAGATGCTGTCTGCTCCCTGCTGCAATCCTGGCTGTTGAAGCATGTGCTAAAGCAGCCCAGAGGTACCCACTTCTGGAAAAGCTGAGTCATAAGATGCTGAGAATATGTTCTTATTTTTAGGGCTCCTTCTCCTCCTTTACCACTAGAGAGATCAGTCAGGCCTTGGGGTAGGGTTCATAACCCAGCTGGTTTCTACCCTACAGATTCTCCTTTTTAAACCAGGCATCTATGATTTGCCCCTCTCTCCCCAAATTCTCTCAAGAGCCCAAATAGCGATGCTGAACAGTGACCCAGAGAACTAAAATGAGTCAGGGTGAATCCCAGCCCTGGAAAACACAGGGGAACTTTACGTGGGCCCTCAGTGGCAGTGATTCTCCCCCAGCACACAGCACCTCCAGCCCCCTCCATCCCCAGGTGCTCTGCAGAGAGATTACAATCTTTATTTTCAAAAGCTCTGCGCTCCAGCCTTTAGATCAGCTATTATTGTTTAAATTCTTTGACAGCTAGATAGTCTGATACATTTTCCAGGAATAAAAGAGAGAGAGAGAGAGGGAGAGAAAGAAAAAAGATGTCTTTAGAGGGTAAGATCTTCTGCTACATGATTTTGCCTTATTGGCCCATTTAACCTAAACCTTCCTGAAAACTCCCACTGGAAGAGACTGGAATTCCTCACATGTCTAGGTGAAAAGGATTACACATGTATGTTGAAAAGCTATCTTCCAGCTAAAAAAACACAAAGCCGGGAAGATATGTGAAGGTGGCAGAAAATATGCCAAATTATCTTTGAAATATTTCCTGGAAGCACGAGGATGGGAGCCAGAAAAGCACAAGAATAAAAAGGTACCTGAAAAATGTAAGGTCTTAATGATATTTATCACAAACTCCTAGGTGCCAGCCAGGTGCAAAGCAGCAGCAAAGGGGAGATGCCACGAAGGCACAGAAGGACTGGATGACCCACAGATGTTACTGCAGAAGCTCTGGCTGTGAGCACAGCAGACTTGTTCTTCCTCTGAGAGAATAAGACTCACTCTTGAAGGGCTGTGCCTGCAGGGAGAACCCCAGCCAAAGGCAGGCTCTTCTGCACATCCCTGCTTCAAATACTTGAAGCTTGTTCAAAACGCTGCCTGCCCCCAAGCAAAAAAATAAGAGAATCCTTTATGTGACCACAACATCGGAGAGAATGACCCTGTCTCCACTTTATATTCATGACGTAATAAGAGGGAATAACGCCAAAATTATGTAAAGTCTGCAGGGTCTAACAAGGCCTGCAGGCTGTTGACAAGCGAGGGAATCTATGCTGCATCTGTAATTTCTGTTTTCTCATTTGTATATTCCTCCAAACGGTGCCTGGTCACTGCAAGGTGGGGTAACAGAAGCTCCAAGGCCAACACTCCAGGTATTTCTGAACATTTGCAAGCACCCGGGTTTGCAAGGACAACCACAATCTCTTGCTTGATCAAGAAGGACAAGATCTCAGGCAAATAAACCCCTGGGGGCATCAGCTCAGCACTACATCCCATGGCATCCCTTCAGGCCTGCGGAGGAGAGCATGTGAACAAAGCAAAGACTGCAGAGATGATCCAACCCTCTCATAGCAGCACACGCCAGCACTCGGAGCTCTCAGGAACCAGACAGGTTAAATATTTGCACGGGAGACATCAGAAGAAAATCTATAACACAGCAAAGACCTCAAAGGCACTTACACTGCAGCAACCTGATCCTGCAAATACTTTCACACAAAGAACCTCGCACACGTCGGAAGCCCCTGAGTGCCAACACAGACCATGCAGGGCTGCAGGGTCTGGTCTCTGCCTTCGGCTGCACTGCCAAAGCAATGGAAGCACGGCTTTGGGCAGGGAGGTGTGAGCTTCCCTGTGATCCTCCCCAGGGTTTTCTACTCACCTAAAGGGCTTCAGGAGCCAGAGCAAAGCGCAGGATCTCAGCAGTTTCAGCAAGGAAGCAAGGGCTAAAATCCCCTTCCCAGCACACTAGAGCAGCTTCCTGGGATTTTTACCTCTGAACTGGCAGATAAGGGCTTCAGGCTC